TTGAGTTCCAGGCCAGCTGCAGGGGGACCCTGTCTCAAAAAGGCCAAAAAAGAAAAGAAAAATAGAAAAAATGTAGTAAAAATATGAACTGATTCCCTAATACAGTAGTCTATAGACTATAGCCTGTGGGTCAAATCCAGCCACCTGTTTTTGTATAACATGTACACTGAGAATGATTTTTACAGATGAACATTTATAATTCATATATTGATAGGCACACTAACTTTGAATCCCAATTATTCATATAATAGAACTTTATTATGAAAAATTATGCTCAATTATAGTATAATTATAATTTCATTAAAAATCCACAGAAATTTGTTTTCTCTCTTATCATGTAGTTGCTTACATAATATCACTAATTTTGCATCTAGACATTGCAAAACTTAAAATATTTACTGTCTGGCTCTTTATAGAAAAAGGTTGCCAACATCTGCCCTAGCACATTTACAATAATAGTCAAGTACTTTGGTCTGAAGCTCAAGGACCGGCCTGACCTTTCCTGGGTCTCTTTATAGTCTCACCCTGACCCCAACCTCTCCTTTCACTGTCGATTTATTGTTTGGCATTCCCCGGGCCTGTGGTCTTTTTGCTGTTACTTTCCCTTGGAATGTCCAGCCCATCTATTAATACTAGAGTCTTTACTTTTCTAAGAGTTCTTCCAAGATGCCTGCTGGTAGATTATATAATTGCCTCATGTGTTCTATTTATTGCACAACATACCTCAAGTTCTCAGCTAATTAGGGTGATAAGACTATGTATGCATTGGGGCAAGGAGTGAAGAAAATGCAGGCCATCGCAGTCAAACTAGTTCTATTTGGTTTTTGTTTGGTTGTAGACCCTGACTTCAAACTTCTGGGTTCAAGCTATCCTCCTCTCTCAGCCTTCCAAATATCTGAGACTTCAGACGTACACCATTGGACCTATCAAATTATAATTTGAATTATATTATAGCGTTCATGTAAACTTACAATTACATTAAACTACAATTACATCAGTGTGTGTAGAACACATTCATTCCTTGACTTTCTGACAGCCATCCTCCCATTTTCTAACTGCTGCTGTGATTTTCTTTTTAGCCACATGATCAGAGAGCAGTTCTACCTTCAGTCTAAAGTGAAGTTCATGACTTTAGCCTAGGCCAGTCAGGGCAGTTCCTTTGCCAAAGTGTTCAGAGATAGATATGTGACCTAGGCTGCAGTAAGTGTTGGAACATCTGCTTGGAATATGAAGTGCGAAATGTGCAGTGTAAGTAGCACCTTGTCACTAAAGAGGAAGAATTTTCTAGGAAAGGAGTCCATGTAAAGAAGTGGAGCTGGAGACAAAAATAGAACTATTCCTTGGTCCTTTATATTCAGCCACATCTAAAGCTAGATCTAATTTAAGTTTAGTCATTTCATTCTCTTTTTTCCCCCTTGTTTAGGAGGGGTTTCTGTCTATAGAAATCATAAACTCCATGAGCATATGGTGGTGCATGCCTTTAATCCCAGCACTTGGGAGACAGAGACAGGCAAGGGGATCTCTGTGGGTTCCAGGCCAGACTGGTCTACACATCAAGTTCTAGGCCAGCCAGGGTTCTGTACTGACATCCTGTCTCAAAAAAAAAAAAAAAATCCTGATTGAAGGACACATTTATATTATATTTTCTATTACTCTATAAATGTCATTATAAAGTATGATAAAAGTATAAAACAGTGGTGGATGAGAGTTCCCTAAGTGCATCATCCAGGATGTTGGGCTTTGCCACTCACAAGCCACCATCTCTACACCGTTTTCATCCTCTCTAAGCAAACTTGCCATGTCATTCAAGAGATTTCAAAATAATAATGACTTATTCTTAAAATGCAAAGCTAATGAATTGGGACTGGCAGTGTGAATCTGTAGTACAGTTCATTGTTTGCATAAACAAGGCCTGTGTTCAGTCCCAAAACCCTACCCCAAGTGGAAAAATTAAAACTAATGAAACTTTTGACTCTACTTCCCATTCTTTGTGAAATTCAAGATAATACAGATGTACATATGATTGGAAATGGATGTTATTACTAGATTGATACAATATAGAAACTACTATAGATTATAGCAGTAGAGGTCTTCATAGCTCCATCAATCATTTATGCTTTTTATTACATTTTTTTTGTTTGTTTTTTGGTCTTTTTTGAGACAGGGTCTCCCTATAGCCCCAGCTGTCCTGGAACTCACTATGTAGACCAGGCTGGCCTTGAACTCACAGAGATCCACCTGCCTCTGCCTCCCAAGTGCTGGGATTAAAGGCATGTGCCACCATGCCCGGCATTTTTTTTTACATTTTAGTGTGTGTGCATGCACATGCATATGTGTACATGTGCACATACACATATGTGTGCACATGGCCATGGCATGCATGTGGCAGTCAGAGAACAACTTGGGAGAATTGTTCCTGTCCTTCCACCATATGCTACCTTGGAATTAAATTCAGATTTATCAAGCGAGGCTGCAACGAACTTTACCTGCTGAGTCATCTCACTTGGCCCTATTTTTAAATATGAATATATACATATGTCTATGTTTACTGTTTGATTTTAAAATTTGTTTATTCAAATATTAAATTATTGAGAGATAATTGTATTATATAGAACTGACCATGGGCAGAAGGTATAGGGAATAGCAGTGGAATACCTTCAAAACCAGAACCTGTGCTTCCACTCACTACAGGAAAATGGAGACTGGACTTACCATGCCATCTTTTTTAGCTTTTTAAAAAAAATTTTATGAGCGAGCATAGTGGCCCACACCTTTAATCCCAGCACTCAGGAGGCAGAGGCAGGCGGATCTCTGTGAGTTCAAGGCCAGCCTGGTCTACATAGTGAGTTCCAGGACAGCTGGGGCTACAGGGAGGCCCTGTCTCAAAAAGCCCAAAAAAAAATTTTTTTTGAGAATTTCATACATGCATACGATGTGTTTTTATCAAATCCATGCCAACTCCCTCCCCATGCCATCTTAAGTAGCTAGAATACCGTGTGAGGCATACGAAGCAATGTTTTTCAGACATTGGACAAGAGGCCATTTAGGACTGTGATCCCCCACATAAGGGGATGAGATGAGGTAAGAGCCCTCTGGGGTCTGCAGCTCCAGGCCACAGTGCAGCAGGGGAACACCAGCAAAGCCCAGGGATCTCCTGGCTTCAGGAGGCCAAATTGGGAATTTAGGGCAGCTAAAATTAACAGGCAAAGTATCAAAGAAAAGAGAACTGAACAGAGAAACAGAGTCACTCGCAGAGATTTAGGTGAAGTGCAAAGAAACTACCAAGGCTGAAAAAGGAACCAAGAGAATGAACAGGAAAGAAAATCCCTAGAGGGTGATTCCCACAGGACTGTGAGAGTTTGTGTCCCACCAATGCTGGGCACAGAAAGGTGCTGGCTCAGGGGTGAGTCAAAGTAGCCCTAGACTTAAGGCTGTTTTGACACACGGGCTCAGTGGTTGCCTGAGGCTGGGGGGAAAATGGGGGAATTTCCTGTAAATGCTCACTTAAGGGAATTTTTTTTTTGTAGTAGTGGAAATGTTCTAAAATTGGATTATGGTGATGGTTATACAACTTTATAAATTTACTGACTGATTCAAGTGCATATGTCTGGCGGTTATATTTTATCACTTACAAAATTTTATTTTTATGTGTATGAGTGTTATGCCTGCACGTAGGTAAGTACACCCATGTCATGCAGTGCCAGCGGAGGACAAAAGAGGCTGTCAGATCTGTTAGCTGCCATTGGGTGCTGGGATTTGAACCCAGGTCTTCTGCAAGAACAATTAATGTTCTTAACTGCTGAGCCATCTCTCCAGCCCCTCACAAATTATATCTCAATAAAGTTGTAAACAACCAACCAGATATACTATATATCACCAAGTGATTTTTTTTTTTTTTTTTTTTTTTTTAAACAGGGTCTCCCTGTAGCCCCAGCTGTCCTGAACTCACTATGTAGACCAGGCTGGCCTTGAACTCACAGAGATCTACCTGCCTCTGCCTCCTAAGTGCTGGGACTACAGGCGTGCGCCACCACACCCAGCTTTACCAAGTGATTTTTAAATATTCTTTTTATAGTTTGTACTGTGATTTTGTTTGGAAATGTGACTGTGTATCTTCCATTTGACTGTTAAGTTTACTGAGGGTAATAAGTTACCCTTGTAACTTCTCTAGTGAGTAGGTGAGTTCCCTACATATAAAACGTAATTAAATATTTGTTGTATGTTTTTGAGTGGTTTGTTGAGTGTTTTTTTTTCCCCCCTTTTGGTCTTTTTTGAGACAAGTTCTCCCTGTAGCCCCCAGCAGGCCTAGAACTCATCATGTGGATCAGTCTGGCCTCATTCTCACAGAGATCTACCTGCCTCTGCCTTTTGAATGCTAGGATTAAAGGTGTGTGCCACCCGTGTCCAGCCCTGTTGTGTAGGTTTTTAAATTTTAATTATTTTTATTTTATGTGTATGACTGTTTTTCCTGCACGAATATAAGTGCACCCACGTGTGCAGTGCCTATGGAGGTCAGAAGAGGGTGTCAGATCCCCTGGAACTGGAATTATAGATGGTTGTTAACCACTATCTGAGTACAGGAAACCAAATCCAGGTCCTCTGCAAAGGCAGCCAGTACTCTTAATTGCTGAGCCATCTCTCTAGCACCTTTAATTGTATATTTTATGGCATATTTCTTGCTTATTGTATTTCCAGCTTTGACTTCTCCTTGTCAGCTAAACTTTGTTGCATTGCTTATTCTACCATCACAAATATTAGCGATACAAAGCATATTATTATTTGCTCATGAATATATTTCTAAACACTACTGTAGTGTAAAAGCTTCTCAGATGTGACTGCAGCAAAGTCTGAAGAGGCAGATAAATTGAGCAAGAGAAGGACTGATTTGCATTTCCTGTTTCATTAAAAATAATGAATGTAGTGCAGAGGGGGAGATGGGAAGAGGGTGTTGTCATTTAAAATTTGTGTTTACCTCAACAATTCCTTCTGCTTTTCTGTAGAATGTTTTCACTGTACAAAGGAGAGAAACAAAGGTACTGACTGAGTGGTTAAAGCACGTGGTGCAAGCCTGAGGACCGATGTTCAGATCCCCAAACCCGTATGAAAGCCAAGTGGATATGACAGCACATCTCCAATTCCAGCACTTGGAAGATGGAGACAGGATTCCAGACGCATGGTCGCCAGACCAGACCTATCGGCAAGCTCTGAGTTCAGTTGAGAGTCCCTTTCTCAACACATAAGATGGAGAGCCATTGAAGAGGACTCCCCATATCAACCTTGGGCCTCTACAGGCATGTGCACACACACACTCATGCACTACACACTCACATGTGTCATGAACACACACATGAAAAAGAAAAGAAAAACCATAAGTATGTCTATTAAACTTGTGAATTACAGCACAGAAAAGAAAAAATTAAAAATTTCTTTTCAGAAACCAGAAAGCCTACAAAAGGACACACGTTGGTCCAGTGGCTATCCAAACAAATATGGAGAAATTCGTGAAAACCACTTCCAATATTGTATTGCTCTAACCCAAAATTCTTGAGGAAAAATAAAACGCCCAAAATGACCGTTCTATGTAAACTGAATAAAAATAAGGCATAATTTTGGGTAAAAATCCTTTGAGTCAGATGGAATTAGTTCAACTACTAAAAACAAATCTGGTCCTGAATTAGTAAACAGATGATTCACAAATGCTACTTGTGTGAAACTGATGTAGAACACCAATCACCTACTTTAGGTATCCTGAGTTTTCTGGAAATCATTTTTTTGCCTTTTAAAAATATTTTGTTTATTATTTTTATTTTATATGCATGACTATATTGCCTCCATGTATATAAGTAAACCTGTGTTGTGCAATATCATCGGAGGTCAGAAGAGTGTGTCAGATTTCCCTGGAACTGGAATTACAAATGGTTTTCAACTGCCATGTGGGTGTTGAGAATTGAACTCAGGTCCTCTGCAAGAGCAGCCAGCCAGTGCTCTTAATGGCTGAGCCATCTCTCCAACTCCACTCCTTTGTTTTAACTTGGAGCAACTTTGGATACATGACTTTCTATTTTTCCCCATGTAAGAATAAACCCACCTTATTAATACCAGAACTTTAAGAATGTGTTTTAGCTTATAAACTTGTAAAGAAAAGTTATAAGGAAGGTTGATAAAAGATGTTTAGAAGATTCAACTTATTGAAATTTATCTTGATATGTTAATCTTTAATAATTCTGGATATTGAGACCCATGTGTACCAGAAATATCCCCTGCCCTTGCAAATATCTCTGGGATCAGATAACACGTTTTTATCATGAATTTCTTAACCTCTAGCAAAATAAACATGGATGATACAAGGCTTTTTTTGTTTTATATTTCACTGTGTGGCTTTCTGGTCTTTCCCTTATCTTTAAATTTTTTTAAATTTAAAAATATTTTATTAGCATTGCTTTCTTTAAGATGTAACATGATTACACTGAAAGATTTTGTATAGGTTGGAGAATTTGGAAAGGGAGTGAATGGCAAGCTCACATTACAGGAACAGTGACACATTATCAAAGGATCTCTCTCTAACTAGAAGCCTGCCCTTTTGGCTAGGATGGCTAGTCAGTAAGTTCTTGGGTATACAGGCATACTCAGACATGCCCAGCTTTTTACATGAGTGCTGGGGATTTGAACTCAGGTCTTCATTCTTGCAGAGCAAGTACACTTACCCACTAAACCATCTCTCCAGCCTCAATTTCCCACCTTTAAAAAAGAATGTAAGTATGCTGGGTGTGGTGGTGTGCCTCCCAGCTCCCAGGAGGCAGACAGGTGGATCTCTTCAAGATCGAGGCTACCCTGGTTCACATTGTGACTTCCAGGTGGTCTGTGACTAGGGAGACCCTGTCAAAAAAACAAAACAAAACAAAACAAAAAAAGAATGTAAGAGAAGGGAATGTAGCTCACTGGTACAGCTTTCCGACTACGCATGAGACCCTGAGTGTGAGCTCCAGCACTGCAAAAAGAAAAACAATTATTGGAAAAAGTGGGGAGAGGTGATGGGGGAGCTGAAGAGTTGAGTCAGTGGATAAAGGCACTTGCTGCCAAGTCTGACAAACTGAGTTCCATCCTTAGACCCCAAATGGTAGAGGAGAATGAACTCTGCGAGTTGTCCTCTGACCTCCACATGCAAGCTGTGGCATATATGCATGTGTATACATGTTTGGGGACACACACACACAAACAAATGAATGTAAAAAATATGCAAAGATAATTACATCTTAGAATATAAATTTGAAATTCTATATGTCTGTCATAATTTTTTAATATTATTTACTGACAAAACTGCACTACCAAGTGTTAGTAATAATGTGAGCCCATGTATGTGCCTGGGCACTCATGTACATACACCACACATACCACATACACCCACACAAATAAATAAAATAGAAACAAAAAGATGAGGAATTCAGTTAGTGAAGTTCTGGAGGGCTAAGATGGAAATTAAAAAGATAATAGCACAGCTGTGATTATTTGAGTTCATTTGAATGGTTTTTTATTTTTTCACTTACTAGGATTTAACCAACTTTCTTATTTATTTACAAGTACTTAATTATGCTATGTAACTTAAAACAATGAGATAAAAGTATGTCATAATTCTTTTTTGTTTGTTTGTTTTTTTAGACAGGGTCTCCCTATAGCCCCAGCTGGCCTGGAACTCACTATGTAGATCAGGCTGACTTTGGCCTTGAACTCACAGAGATCTGCCTGCCTCTGCCTCCCAAGTGCTGGTGCTAAAGGTATATGCTACCATGCCTGGATATAATTCATTCTTATATCAGTTTGCTTCTCATATTATCTCTCTTGTTCCATAGAATTATTAAAAAATGAAGTTTTAGGGCCTAGAGCGATGGCTTAACAGTTAAGAGCACTGGCTGCTCTTGCAGGGGACCTAGGTTCGGTTCCCAGCACCCACATGATGGCTAACAACTGTCAGTAACTCCAGTTCTAGGAGATCTGACACCCTCTTTGGGCCTCCATGGGCACTGCACACACCTGGTGCACTTATATACACACAGACAAAACATTCATACAGTTAAAATAAAAATTAATTAAAATATTTTAAAAAATAAATGGAGTGTTGCAGGCTGGAGATGGCTCAGTGGGTAAGAGCACTGGTTGCTCTTACAGAGGACCCACATATTGAGTCCTAGCATCCACATGGCGGCTAATAACTGCCTGTAACTTCAGTTCCAGGGAAACCCAATACCCTCTTCTGACCTCTGTGGGCATTGAATGACATGAGTGCACTTACATACATGCAGGCAATACACATGTACATATAAATAAAAATAACAAATAAAATATTAAAGAAGTGTGCATAAATTTGCTCTCTCTCTCTTCATATATATAGATCTTGTTTTGTTTGAGACAGAGTCTTGCTGGGTAGCCCAGGCTTGCCTTGAACTCTCTCCATCCGTCTGCCTTAGCCTCTCCTGAAAGCAAGGACTGACAGATGTGCACCACCATGATCAGCCTTCATTTTTTGAGAGAGCTAAAGGGAGTCATCAAGATGATTCAGCAGGCAAGAGTGCTTGTCCTGGCAGCTGATATCCTGAGTTTGATCCACAGAATCCATGGTGGAGGAAGCTGGCTCCCAAAAGTTGTCATCTGACCTCCCATGCACAGAAGTGCCCCTCCATAATAATTTTTTAAAGTTAAAAGGTATGGGCTGAGGAGATGGATTAGTAGATAAAGGACTTGCAACATGAACTTGAGGACTAGAGTTCGGATCCCTAGAACCCACCTAAAAGCTGGGGATGTGCGGCTGCCTCCTGTAATGCCAGCACAGAGGATCACCAGGACAAGCTGATGAGTTAGACTAGCTAAAATTGGCTAGCTCCAGACTCAGCAAGAGATCCTGTCTCAATAAAGTGGAGAGTCATCAAAGAAAGGCACCCAAATCAACTTTGAGCCTGTGTAAACACATATACACATTTACATATACATGTGCACCCATACACATGAGAACATACACGCACACACCAAACACACTGTAAAAATAAATACATAAAGCTAAAGGGTATCAATTTTTTAAAAAAATCTTAAATGCAAGTTGAAATGAATGCCATTTAAAGTTGATCTGTTGGTTTCAATTTATATAGCAAATTAGTCTCTTTGTCCAATATAGTTTTATATTCTGATGTCTCATGTCAACTTTCCAGAGTCTCCCTGTAGCCCCAGCTGGCCTGGAGCCTGTGTAGACCAAGCTGGCCTTGAACTCACAGAGATCCACCTGCCTCTGCCTCCCAAGTGCAGGGACTACAGGACTGCACCACCAGGCCTGGCCCTTTGACACATTCATCAGACAGTACAGGCAGGAATACTTTATTCAGGTGAGCAATCCCCACTTCATGGGATATATCAAGGGTTCCAGCAAACTTTACCGTTATTGGGTGATTCTTGAAATTTCATTTTGAGATGTAAAGTAGTATTTTATCAGTTGGCAAGATTGTCACTAATAATGTTTGTTTTGGTTTAAAACTTACAATATCTCATTTAAAAAACACAAAAACCTATCAGGAAAGGAGAAGTAAAATTTGGTCAACCCAACATTTGATAATTTCACCTTACCAGTATCAATAGTAAATTATTATGGCTACATAGTATTATATCATCAAAAATCTTGTTTCCCATATAGGAAGGCAAATTATAACTTTAATTTATGAGTTGTGCTTTGCATATTTTAATTATGTTTTGGGTTCTAACCATGTGTCCTCGGTTGGCTTTGAATTTGCCATGTAGTCCAGGCTGGCCTCAAACTAATCGTCTTATTCTCTCATCTTCCCAAGTGCTGGGATTACAGCCATGTACCACCATGCTTGGCTTTTAACACTTTAATTCTTTTTTTCTTTAAATATTTATTATTTTATTTTATGTGTGTGAGTGTATTGCTGCAAGTGTTTACATGCACCCATGTCATGCAATGCCTATGGAAGTCAGAAAAGGGTGTCAGATTCTCCTGGAACTAGAGTTACAGAGAGTTGTTAGCTGCTATGTGGGTGGGTACTGGGAATTGAACCCAGGTCCTCTGCAAGAGCAGGCAGTGCTCTTAACTGCTGAGATATCTCTCCAGTTCCTGAACACTTTAATTTTTATAACCTTGAGGATTTGTGTACAAAGGGATCTTTTAGCATGTTCCTATAGCACCACTATCTTGCTAAATTCTGTGTAAACACTTTACCCATTCTTCAGGATCCAGTTCAAAGAACAGTATAATACAAGAATGCTTACTCCCCATAGTCTATCTACCACAACAGAAAGCTGGGAATCAGCCTAAATATTTTACAATAGGGAATTATTTAAACGAGGCATGGTATTTTACTGTTTTTGATAGTTAATCATATGGAAAACATAGTATTGATTGAAAACAATTTCTTCAGCCAGCTGTAATGATGCTTGCTTATAATCCCAGCACTTGGGAGGTTGAGGCAGGAAGATCACTATGAGTCTGAGTCTAGCCTGGGCTACAGAGTGAGACCCTGTCCCTCACAAAAAAAGGGGGGTAGCAGGATGGCTCAGCAAGTAAAGGTGCTTGCTACCAACTCTGATGACCTGTTTGATACAAGGGATTTACGTGGTGGAAGGAGAGAGCTTGACTCCTAAAAGTTATTCTCTGACAGCAGCACACATGTACACATACATACAACATAAAAAAAAAAAAAAAAAAAAAAGAAAAGAAGGAAGAACGGAAAGAAGCAGAAGGAAAGGATTAGTGAAGATTCTTTTTATTTGTTTGTTTGTTCTGGTCGTTTTTGAGACAGGGTCTTCCTGTAGCCCCAGCTGGCCTGGAACTTGCTATGTAGACCAGGCTGGCCTCAAATTCTCAGAGATCCTCCTGCCTCTGCCTTCTGAGTGCT